CACACACACATGCATACATACACACACACACACATACATACACACACACACACATCAAACATACACACACACACACATCAAACATACACACACACACATGCATACATACACACACATGCATACATACACACACACACATGCATACATACACACACACACACACACACATACATACATACATACACACACATCAAACATACACACACGCACACACACGCATACATACACACACACTCACACATACATCAAACATACACACACACACATCAAGCATACACACACACACACACATACATACATACACACACACACATGCATACATACACACACACACACACACACATACATACACACACACACACACATCAAACATACACATACATACACACACACACACACACATACATACATACACATACATACACACACACACACACACACACATACATACACACACACACACATCAAACATACACACACACACACATGCATACATACACACACACACATGCATACATACACACACACACATGCATACATACACACACACACATGCATACATACACACACACACACATACATACACACACACACACACACACATCAAACATACACACACACACACATCAAACATACACACACACACATGCATACATACACACACACACACATCAAACATACACACACACACATGCATACATACACATACACACACACACATACATACACACACACACATGCATACATACATACACAAACATGCATACATACACACACACACATGCATACATACACACACAAACATGCATACATACACACACACACATGCATACATACACACACAAACATGCATACATACACACACACACACATACATACACACACACACACATCAAACATACACACACACACACATGCATACATACACACACAAACATGCATACATACACACACACACACATACATACACACACACACACATCAAACATACACACACACACACATGCATACATACACACACACACATGCATACATACACACACATGCATACATACACACACACACATGCATACATACACACACACACACATACATACACACACACACACATCAAACATACACACACACACACATCAAACATACACACACACACATGCATACATACACACATGCATACATACACACACACACATGCATACATACACACACACACACATACATACACACACACATCAAACATACACACACACACACATGCATACATACACACACACACATGCATACATACACACACACACATGCATACATACACATACACACACACACACATACATACACACACACACATGCATACATACACACACACACATGCATACATACACACACACACATGCATACATACACACACACACACATACATACACACACACACACACATCAAACATACACACACACACACATCAAACATACACACACACATGCATACATACACACACACACATGCATACATACACACACACACACATCAAACATACACACACACATGCATATATACACACACACACACATGCATACATACACACACACACATGCATACATACACACACACACACATACACACACACACACATACACACACACACACACACATCAAACATACACACACACACATGCATACATACACACACACACACACACATACACACAGTCAGCATGTCCCAAAGCAAGACACTTTTGTTTAAAAATGGACACCGTGGACTCCTTTGCCCCACCCATTTGCTCAGAGATGATCACATGACATCACACACCACAGACCGCCCGTGTGCTCATTCCTGAGGCGGTGAGGAAGTCTGGGCGGTGTGTAAGCGGCGTTAGCGGCTTTCCTGCTTCAACAGTGGAGTCACCTGTGCAGCAGCTCATCAGGCGCTGCAGAAGCCCGTTAATCACCCGCTGATTAAAACCAGGAGTTAGAACGTGCTGCAGTGACTCTTAGAGGTGGGCGATAAGACCTAAAATCTATCCTGCGATATCATTAGAAAAATGTGCGGTAACGGTATATATCGCGATATAGGACTCTCTTTTGTACGTATGTTTCTAAACGTACTCACACACCAGGTACATCGCAGCAGCAGAATAAACACTTCAAAAAGTATAAAATGCCATTTTAAGAATATTTATTGTGCAAAAATCAAAATGCTTTACAGGTAATATTTAAGATGTGTAACCATTCTTTAATTTGGACATTTTAAATAAAGTAAAAGTAAAAGTTAGCAAAACACAAAAGTTTTTAAAATAAAGTGAAAAATGTAAAACAAACAACTGATGACTTATTTGTATTGCACAAAGTAAAGCTGCACATATCAGAACTACCAACTCAACAGAACAGATTTCTAACCTGCAGAAACGAACACTTAACATCAGTGTGTGTGTGCTCTTTGTGAGCAGCGACTAAACGTTCCTGCACATCAGAGGCTGTTTGCCAGGAACACCAGTTTGTTCACAGTATCAGGCTTCATGCAGACCTGTGACGTTACGATGGTGCCACTGGTGCTGAATGCTGTTTCTGAGTGGGCACTCGTGGCAGGAATACAAAGGGATTTGTTGGCTAGGCTTGCCACCCTGGGAACGTTGGCCTGGTGCAGCCGCCACCACTCCAGTGGGTTAACATCGTGCTTGCAGGTAACTCCAGCTCAATTTCAGTCTCTTCTCTGTTAGTGAGGACAGCTGGGCCGGGCTGAGCAGATGCCTTCTTGAAAAAGCAGCTCAGAGTTTGTTTAGTCCTCTGGAGTTCACTTTGGACGTGAGCAGCAGCTCCTGTGCTCGTGTGGGATGGTGGTGACTTTGTGGCAGACGCAGCTTGTGTTTCTAGCAGTGCTTGACTTTCTGCTGCAAACATCAACATGTACAAACACCAGTATACACCAGTATACACCGTATACACCAGTATACACCAGTATACACCGTATATACCAGTATACACTGTATACACCAGTATAAACCAGTATACACCAGTATACACTGTATACACCAGTATACATCAGTATACACCGTATACATCAGTATACACCAGTATACACCGTATACACCAGTATACACCAGTATACACCAGTATACACCGTATACACCAGTATACACTGTATACACCAGTATAAACCAGTATACACCAGTATACACTGTATACACCAGTATACATCAGTATACACCGTATACATCAGTATACACCAGTATACACCGTATACACCGTATACACCAGTATACACTGTATACACAAGTATACACTGTATACACCAGTATAAACCAGTATACACCAGTATACACTGTATACACCAGTATACATCAGTATACACCAGTATACACCAGTATACACCGTATACACCAGTATACACCAGTATACACCGTATACACCAGTATACACCAGTATACACCGTATACACCAGTATACACCAGTATACACCAGTATACACCGTATAACCTGATCCTGATACGCCTGATCTCTCTGATGATTAAGCAGGAGAACACCGTGTTTGTTGTGATTTATTTATGAAAAAGACCTCGTCATGATTCCGTGAATGATGGTAAACAACGGGAGAACTTCCTTGTTTACAGTGCATTAACGACATTTCACAAGCTAACTGTCAGGTAAACACACAACAAGCTATAAGAACTTCCACAGGAAGAGCGTCTCTTCAGGTTAACAGCCAGGGACGTAATAATCGGTCTGTGCACGCGCATTTACCCAAAGTAGCACATAGACGACTAGCACCGGGCTTTGTCCATGAAAGCTTGCACACGTCACGCAGCACTAGCGTATAATGTTGAACTACGACTAAAAGAAATGTTTAACCTACCGCTGGCGAGGTGGAGCCTGTGACCGAAGCACTGCAGTCATGTCCGGTCATTCTGCTTTTACCATATTTGCCCCGTTGTCGGTGGTCACACAGGCTTGGAGCTCTTCTTTAAGTAGTCTCTTCGTAGTCGCTTGGTGTTTCTTGCTCGCGGACTTTCTCGTAGTTTTGGCATCTCTGTTTGGCTGAAGTGCTTGCGGCTCGGTACCTCGTAACGTGGATCGAGTGTCTTCATCATGTCCTGAAAGCCCTTTTCTCCACTGTAAGGAACGGCACCGTGTCCTCACGCAGGTCCGTGCTGATGGCATTTGTAACATCAATCCACCGTTGATCATTCCTCTCATACCAAGCGCCTTTAGCACCTTTTTTCTTACCGCTTGACTGGCTGGACGTTTGTCGAGGACGCAGTTTTTGGCTTTCTTCGTATTCCACAATGTGCTTCGTTTTGAGGTGGTGAAACAAATTAGATGTATTCCCTCCATTCGCCAATACTTTCTTGCGGCGTACTTTGCAGATTATATTGTTCTGCTCCACAGCCGACTCCTTAAAGCCAAATCAAGTCCAAATGACCGATGTTGCACCGGTCTTCTTTACGAGAGCCTCCTCCTCCACAGGCTCCGTGCTTTCAGCCTCAACAGACGCCACTTGATTATGTCATCAATATGCGCTACCACGATAGGCCGATATAGTCAAAATCTCTACCGTAGGCCAAATTCATATCGTTTCTACCGTATACCGTTTATACCGCCCACCCTTAGTGACTCTCCAGGACCACGGTTCGCTACCCGGACTTAAATGGTAAATGGCCTGTATTTGATATAGCGCCTTCTAGAGTCCTGGAACCCCCCAAGGCGCTTTACAACACAATCAGTCATTCACCCATTCACACACACATTCACACACTGGTGGGGATGAGCTACGATGTAGCCACAGCTGCCCTGGGGCACACGGACAGAGGCGAGGCTGCCGAGCACTGGCGCCACCGGTCCCTCCGACCGCCACCAGCAGGCAACGTGGGTTAAGTGTCTTGCCCAAGGACACAACGACAGTGACAGACTGAGCGGGGCTCGAACCTGCAACCTTCCGATTACGGGGCAAGCGCTTAACTCCTGTGCCACCATCGCCCCTGGACTGGGACCACATTCTGAAACTCACTCCTCAATCCGGGTGATGGCCTTCAGCTTCCAGCACTCGTCGTCGTCGTCGAAGAAAGCTCTGTTGAGGACTTTGTTCTTCTCCTCCAAAGGAATAAAGTTTTCTATGATCAGGTACCTGAAAGACAAATGTTGTTGGTAAAAGTGGGAGGAGCTCCTAGCAGAAGACCCAGACGTGGTCCCATACTTGAGTTTGAGTTCACGGGTGAGCTCGTTCTGGGTCTGTTCCAAGTCCTGGCGCTCCTTGATGTGCTCCTCCTGGATGTCCTGGATTTCCGCCTTCACAGCTTGGAGCTTGGAAAAGAGCTGAAGGAGGGAAGCTGATTGAGTCTGAGGCAGCAACACTGTTGGTTTAAAAGCTGTCCCCATTTAAAAATACTGAGTGAGCTTTTCCTCCGAGTCCTTCTGGAGCTGCTGCTCTGCTCTAGTTTTAATAACGCTAAGTTCCTGCCTCCTCTCACCTTTTTCAGCTTCTTGGTTTTAATATCGACCTCCTGTTGAAGCGAGCTGTAGGTCTCCTTCAGCTCCAGCGTCTCCTCATCACGGCTCTCCATCTGCTGCTGGATCTCCCGCTCTCGACGTTTCTGGAAAGACGAGCAGCCGACAGGAGGGTCTCAGGGCCTCTCTGGGCTTCGGTGTCGCCGAAACGTTGAAAGGTTTGTTCAGAAGGTCAGAGAGACCCGGAGCCCAGCTAGAGCCCAGCTAGAGCCCAGCTAGAGCCCAGCTAGAGCCCAGCTAGAGCCCAGCTAGAACCCAGCTAGAGCCCAGTTGGAGCCCAGGTCATTTAGTCTCAAAGACATCAGACATCTCACGCAGACGCTTTGGGACTAAATGAGAAACTGCAGGAATGCCTCCATGTCAGCGATGACATCATATGCCCCATGTGACCCACTCTCCAAAGCAGAAGGACAACCCAGAGACCTCTGCAGGAGGCAACAGAACCGGACTTCTGCTGTAAAAGCTTTGGAAATCGTGGTTTACCTGCTCAGCGATCTCCTGCCTCTTCTGCTCCAGCATCCTCTGCTGCTCGTTGGTGTGATCCACGATGTTCTTTCCGCCCACCAGAAGCTTGCTCTCCATCGCCTGAAAGGAAACCAGAGGTTTGGATCACGAACGATGCTGCAGACTTCTGGTTTCTATTTTTCTGACTTACCTTAACTTTCGCGGTCAGCTTCTCTCCAGCCTCCTTTTCGGTCTTCAGATCTTCCATCTTCTTCTCCTTCTCTTTCAGCAGACGCGTCTTCTCTTCAGCCACCAGACTGTGATCTTCCAAGATGGCCCTTTTCTCCCTCTCCAGCTTCTCCTGCTGCTCTCTCCAGTAGTCACCTCCTTCATCGTCGTCGTCCTCCGTCTCTCCGTCTTCCAGATCCTCACCATCACTTCCATCTCTCCTCCTCTGCTTTTTACGTTTCTTCTTTCCACCTCGTTTGTTCAGCTGCTCCTTCAGCTTCGCAATCTCCTCCTGAAACTGCCGGAGCATCGCGTCCTTCGGATCCTCGTTGATGTGCGGCTTGTTTTTGATGTTCTTGGCCCTGTTGGCGTAGCGGAGCGTCGTTAGGGTCTCTTCCACATTGTATGACGCCGGGCCGATGTTGGCGACCATCACAGTACGGGCGTTCCCGCCCAGGGAGTCCTGCAGCAGACGGGTTAGTTTTGAATCCCGGTACGGGATGTGGCTGCTCCGGCCGTCCACCAGAGCGGAGATGACGTTTCCCAGGGCCGAAAGAGACAGGTTGATCTTCGTGGCTTCTTTCAGTCGCTCCCCTTGGGCGCCGGTCTTGGTCTGCCTTTCACTTCCTGCCAGATCCACCAGGTTGAGCTTTCCGACTCGGATGTGGTTCTCCCCATCCACACCTAGCTCGCTGCACTCCACAGTGATGACAAAGATGGCGTGTGAGCGCGAGCTGTGCTCGTTCATGTTTGTGGCGCCCACCGAACGGTTCTGGTTGCCCACATTCATGACGTTCTCGATCTCTCGGACACACTTGGTGACGAACGATGAAAGGTCTTTTACATACACGCCGATGTCGGGCCTCTCCCTGAGCTCCAGACGCCGTGATTGGTCCTTGGAGAGCAAGTCTCGGATCTCCTCTTGGTAAATTTCAAGGTAACAGGCTCTCACCAGGTACTGCTGGTTCTGGGTGCGTGAGATGTGTGTGAATATATGCTCAAAGGAATTAGGGATCACCCCTCTCCTCTCTGCATCGTTTCGTATTCCCTCCATTGTGTAGGTCTTTCCTGTCCCCGTCTGGCCGTAAGCAAAGATTGTCCCGTTAAACCCGAGCAGAACAGAGTCCACCAGAGGCCTGAAGGTTTCATCGTACAGATCTATTTGTTTGGAGTTCCAGTCGTACACCGAGTCAAACGTGAAGATTTTAGGAAGCTCGCTGGCATCTCTGGGGCTCCTGACAATAATCTGGCCCAGCTTGACGTCAACAGAGACCATCCGCTCAAATCCAGCAGCCCGCTCTTTCTCATTCAAGGGGCGACAGCGGACCACCACCTTAACGGACTCGGAGCTTTTGCTCTTGGACATGTTGGTGAGAAGATGCCAGACCTCACTGCTCAGCACGTCGAGTCCTTCAGTAGTTCACCAATACACATCCCACCATCTGAAAGAGCTGGAGCAGACACAACCAGTAAAACACACCAGTTCTGATGACGGCTCACACCTCTGCTGTTCAGAATCCTCACAAAGCCCTAATAACCAGTGACCCGATGGCTCCGAGTTGAACAAAGCCCTAATAACCAGTGACCCGATGGCTCCGAGTTGAACAAAGCCCTAATAACCAGTGACCCGATAGCTCCGAGTCGAACAAAGCCCTAATAACCAGTGACCCGATGGCTCCGAGTCGAACAAAGCCCTAATAACCAGTGACCTGATGGCTCCGAGTTGAACAAAGCCCTAATAACCAGTGACCCGATGGCTCCGAGTTGAACAAAGCCCTAATAACCAGTGACCCGATGGCTCCGAGTTGAACAAAGCCCTAATAACCAGTGACCCGATAGCTCCGAGTCGAACAAAGCCCTAATAACCAGTGACCCGATGGCTCCGAGTCGAACAAAGCCCTAATAACCAGTGACCCGATGGCTCCGAGTCGAACAAAGCCCTAATAACCAGTGACCCGATGGCTCCGAGTCAAACAAAGCCCTAATAACCAGTGACCCGATGGCTCCGAGTCAAACAAAGCCCTAATAACCAGTGACCTGATGGCTCCGAGTCGAACAAAGCCCTAATAACCAGTGACCCGATGGCTCCGAGTCAAACAAAGCCCTAATAACCAGTGACCCGATAGCTCCGAGTCGAACAAAGCCCTAATAACCAGTGACCCGATGGCTCCGAGTCGAACAGGTTTTTAATGCGATGCTTGTTTTATTAAAGTCCCGTTATCAAAGTTTAAGACCCTTTGAGCAGGAACCGTGGCAGCCGCCGTGCTGGTGGACAGTTAGAGTGTTTTAATGATTCAACAAAGTAAAGGAATAAAACAACTTGATGTGACAACTGAAAACCGGCTCATCCCTTTGGTTTTGTGCCTTTTAAGACAAACTAGTTAACAGGTTAGAGTTTAGTGGCTAAACAACCAACCCACCGCGGAGCTTCACTCACCTGTAAATCTGGTCCGGGACCAGAACCCCGGTTAGCGGATCGAACCCCTCCGAGACCGGAAGTTAAATTAAGAGTTTAACGCCAGTTATTCGGACACAACGACCCTGTTCAGATTATAATCCCCGGTACTGCTGATTAACCAGAGTAAAGATGTCTGTCCACAGCCACAAACCTGCTTTAGATAACCGGTTAACTAGGTCACATGAGCTAACTAGGCTAACTGACCGCCGTTAACCGCAGCACTCCGACCAGCAGCTGGTTAAAATACTGACGCTTGGCAGCTAGCAGGTCCGTTAGCGTTAGCTCGTGTTTCATACAGCCCATAATAAGACCATGACACCCGGCCTAGCAACGGCAAACACTGCGGTAACCTCGGCTACACAAATGATAGCATTACCTGGCTAACACTCTTCGGGACGGCGTGCGGGAACTAAACACACTTCCCCACATGTATGTCACGCACGGGCGGGCCCAGGTTTTCCCACAACCCTAAAAAAACAGCTCACACACCCGGTAACGTGACTTGTCCGTTTGTTAACGCAAACTCTCAGAGCGCTCGCGCGAGCCGTTGATGGCCCATCAGAGGGTCCGCACCTTCTATAATCCGGCGCACTTCGGGGTGTTAGCGGAATTTACTTTGTATTTCTCTGTGGTATTCATCTCAAAGTAGACTCTCCGTGGTGTCTCCCCCTGAACACACACGCGCGCGTGCACACACACTAGTGTTTCTATGGTTACATTGTGATTTCTTCAGGGGCGTAGCACCAAATTCTGGGCCCTAGGTACAAGTCTTCTAGGTGGGCCCCCATGCTCAATTGTTTAATATCTCTCTTACACATTTTTGTCATGCTTTCAAGATAATAAATATGATCTTAGTTTAACCTCTATATTGAGCAAATACAAATGCCAGCATAATAAAAGTGAAATGCCCAGACTTCACATATAATTATTTTTATTTGCCAACAATGTGTTCAAACAAAAATCCTGGAATTTATTTTCCAGTAAATGCCCTCTGATGGGTCTTCATGTTAGCAAAATCACTTATGAGATCTTTAAAGTCCAATCCTTTGACTAATTGGCTTTCAATAGATCATGAATTAGGTCACCAAAATATACCCTAACATGTCCTTTCAGATAAATCTGCTGCTAACGATTGCTTGTAAATTGAATAACTTAATTGTATAGTGAGCTCACCTTGTCTCATCTCCTCAGTGCTTTCTGGAGACAATGAGGGCCCTGCTGCTGCTGCTGCTGCGTCTAAAGGGCCATGTGGTTCATGATGTTAAGCTTAGCTAATACTGATATATATTGATATATTAAATACATATGACATGAAATAAACCAGGTTCTCTCTGTGAATGTAATGCACTCTAAATTTTATAATCCCTGCATTATCAGCCAAATTATAAGATTGTCCGTTTTCAAGATCAAATATAAAGAAATTTAAAATAGGCTTAAAATATCTAACCAAGTCAATAACAATCCTCTAACACCAGTGTCATCATGCTATACGAAAAACAGTGGCAGCTTCTCATTCCTGAGATTACCACAAATCCATCGATACCAAGTTTGTCCTGGTCCATGACTGGGAAGGAGCTGAAATATCCACACAGAGTGAACCTGTTTTTACTGCGAGGTCCGCCAATTAATTGGCGGCGGCCGCCCGCGATAATAATTCAGATTAATATATATATATATTAATTAGTGTTTTCACTGATAACACTAATTAATATATATTTGATCTTGATGGTGAAACTAAAGGCGTTTAACACTGAACACCTAACATGAATGCAGCTTCTGAGAGCTAGCTAATATCAGCTAAAACTGTGTTCTGCTGCTGCTGGCTGCTGCTCACCGTCCTTCTTGAAAAACCTAAATATTTGCTTCTGTTCAATTAACTTTTTCTCCTTCTTTTCTTTCCTGGAAACCAGATTTCCCTTTCTTGGGAAAAGACATGACTGACTCTCCTGCCTCCAGCTGTGGCTGTCGGCATCTGCGATGTCTCATAGCTGTACATGCGGCCGTGCAGCCTCTGGCCGCTGGTGTGGACTAAACCACTTTGCACATTTTTAAGGGGTGATAGATGCCTCAGAGATTATTCAGTTATTATTTTTAAGGCGAAATTCTGTTTCTTAACCTCTTTATCCAGGTAAAGGGAAGTTTATTAAGACATTAAGTAAGTTGGGGGAAAAAACAACAATAAAACATTTTTATTCAAAGCTGTCTCAGGGCCCCTCCCTGCAGTGGGCCCTGGGTAAACGGTACCCTTCCCCCCCCCCAGTCCGACACCCCTGGATTTCTTAGCAGGCACGTGCGGGTGGGGTGGGGTGGGGTGGGGTGGGGGTGGGGTGATTGAGCACCTGCCCCTTTTGTCCGAAGTGTTGTTCGTCAGATTTTACCGTACAAACTGTTATACTGTGATACATATCAGGCACTAGGACCATGAGGAGGCAGCCGCCTCAAGCTGAAGGCTATTTTCCCTAAGATCCGCCTACAAGCTCACTGATTGGCTCAGCTGCTTCGTCTCCACCAGCTACGGCAGCATATACTTGCAGATAGGCAAGTATTCATGAACATTGATCGAATATTACCACAATCGGACGTGTCTTGGCAAAGCATCAAATCACAATGAAGCAGTTGTACAGGGTCCCTTTTGAGAGGAACAGTATCGGGGTCATAAGACGTTGACAAGAATATGTACAAGTAAGCAGTCCTTTACTGTACATTTATAATACAGTATTTATGTAATTCAGTACAGTAATAGCTATGCCATTGTATCAGTATCACATAGATACAGGCATGTGCTTGTTTTATTTTTGGGGTATTGCCTGATGGGGGGGGGGGGGGGGGGGTCTGTACGTGTAGTACTGTAGTTGAGTGTTTTGAGCCATCCATTCTATATTTTTGGTGTGCAGACGATCGTGGGCATGGATGGAGCTGCACAGCCTCATGAGTTGATTTACATTGACGAGGCTGGTTTCAACCTCACTACAAATAGACGACGGGGTCATAATATAAGTGGCCAAAGGGCAATTGTGCATGTCCCGGGGTGGCGCGGGGCAAACATCACATTGTGTGCCGCCATAAGCCTTTGAGGGCTACTACACCATCATGCCAATCTAGGTCCCTACAATACCCAACAAATACTTTTCTAGATGCACTTCATGGTGCAGTCGTACGGGACAGACCAGAGCAGCCCAGGCTTGTTGTCTGGGATAATGTTAGTTTCCACCGGGCAGCTCTGGTCCAGAACTGGTTCACCAACCATGATCAAGCTACCAAACAAATACTAACTTAAAGCGCTCTCTCTGGTTTTAAACCAGACAGGAAACCAAATGGGTAACAACCTCCTAATTGAACCAAACAACCAAAAATTGGGATTTCTAAGAATAAACCAAAACCATCTCCATATAAACACAAAAGACCCACAACTATCCAACTAGAAATCTCCTTTAACTGAAAATCCTCAAAGGCAAACAACTAAAGCCAAACTCAACTGAGGATTTGGAGATTCACAAGAGAAACACAAAACGGGTGGCACAAGGGCACAAAGTATCTTTAGCAACTGGAGAGCACAGTTTGGGCAAAGTACAAAACAGAGAAGCCAAGAAACAGTTTTAGCACTAAGTCTCCTCTGTCACTGCGTCTCCTTGACTGAAGACCAAGGGAGGCTTAAAAAGAGTCTGGAGCAGCTGACTGATCATTAGACAGCTGCTCCTCTGGTCTCTGGTGGTGAATGGGAGCTGCGGGTCTCGAGGCCTGCAGCAGGGTGTCACCAGGTGTACAGCAGGGCAGAAACCTCTGGGTCCGTCACAAGGTAGAGACCACTGCAACTTTGTGTTGGTTTTGATCAACGTTACGTAAATTGTTTATGTGTGAAAACACAGTAAAATA